GGGCAATATCCAAACTTTCGTAGTACTTGATAAAAAATGTGTCACTCAACCCTTTTCCAACTGATCAAAGGAACTTTGGAGAACCAAGTGTCCTAATTTGATGTGCATATCATTGGAACCTATGTACAGATTTTAGCGGTGTACAATTCCTATATTACCTGTGTCATTTGAGATAGGAGAATATACTCTTCACAAAATCAAAAAAAAAAAAAAAGAATGAAATCTATAATTATATATGTACTTAGCATGCCCGACTCTTGAATAAGCCATCCAACTCGTACCTATACATCAAAATATTCCCTACATGTACCTCCAATAGTCATTCCTCATTCCACCTAATTCCCATATAGTAATAACTACAAATATTCTTAATATAAATAGAATTAATTACTTGATACCAACACTCAAACCACTAGCTGAACTGGAAATGGTATAGAACTAACAGCTGAGGTCTCCCAACATGTATATGCTCCTAATCCCATATTTGTAGTATGTGGATATAACCTGCTATGTTAGCTCATTTCGGGCTAGTTGCTTCTGATAGCTCCCTGTACATATGAGCTATAACTGCACCTCTAAGTGAGTATGTCTAGAATATCGTTATGTCCTCCATCAGGATGCTATTCTGGCATAGGAAATCTATGTCAATAATACCCATTCAGCTTATTGCTTTCTTAAAGTTCCCACGTAGGTGGCATAGAGAGTGGCAATGTGCAACAATAAAGCAAAATTTTCATGACAACCTTGCACTAAACCGATGTGCTTGTCGGATATAATAAATAAATTAGTTCGAGTGCAAACAACTGAAATGAGTATATACATTTGGCTCAAAAACCACACCCATGAATCAACACATTTTGACTCTACAATCTCAAATATAAGGGGGTACAATCCATTATTTTCATAAATTCCCACTGCAGTTAGCAAAGTGCATGGGTATTTACCTAATAGGAATGTCCCGTCAAGGTAAAGAACATGACGACAATATGTCCACCCATTTATCGAATGGGCAAATGAGAAAAATAATCTTTCAAATCTATGCTTCTCAGATGTTTGTATCATATAGAAGGTTTCAGGCTTCGAACACACAACACATAAATTAAAAAGAATTATGGTTCGATAAGACTTATCCTAATTACCAAACACTATATTCACAACTTTTCATATGGTATCCCAAGCTTTTATATACAAAACTTTTATGTTGAACTTCACTTCAATTTGTCCTATAATCTCCCATAGCTTGAGATCCATATGCCTTCTAATACTGGAGAATACGAAGTAGCTTATAAATTGAGAATTGCATTATCGGTGTCTAGTCACTAGAATTGGTATTACACAGGTATTGGTTCTTCATTGAATATATTTTCCATATACCTTCGAGATGTTTGCTCAGCCTTGCATGCAAATACCATATACATGATATGCTTGACCTACCATTCTAAGCACAAACTACTATCATTTTTTGTCTGTTCAAAGCTACAATGACATATTCCACATTATTAATAATTGGCCAATCTTGTAATATAAATTGAAGATCCTCTTTCTTACTGAAACACATACCCTCCATTAGCTCTATTGGAATTGAAAATCCTTCCTTGACTTAGTTACCTATATATTTACTATCATTTGCTACATCCTAATCCCATTCATGAGTGGTCGAATATGTCTTCACAAACTCATTATTTATAACTATGCCTTATAAAGTGCCGATATTTGTGTAACAATAATGTTGGACCATGCTATGGATCTCAGGGTTCATATTAACATTCACTTTATCTAAATGACAGTGCACGTCATCATCACCATCATCAAGAGCTGTATTGCTCGATTCACTACTCATCATTTAATAACCATCATCGACATTGACCGATGGTCTCTCAAAAGTTCCTGGTACATCCTCGAAACAACTTCTTCACTATCCACTTCATCACATAAACAATATTTTGTTAATAAAGGTGAATTTTCCTAACAATTATACTTTATTTAATATTCATTTAGGTGAAAAACTTAATCAGCATATTACGACATGAAGCTTGGATTCGTCGAACCACCTTTTGCCACCCCGTCAAAAGTAAATATCTCATGCACTTAGGATGTTGATTGCCCAGCAACAAAATTTTGTGCACTAATATCTTCAGCATCTACATAAAGTAGAAATATCTTCCTAATTGCATGCGATAACACCATATAACCTCATCATTCTCCATAGGCGAAGCTATGAACTCATTCCCTAATGTTAGACGACAAACCAAGTTCACTGTGTACTTCGACATATCATTTTTAAGTGCTTTTAGGATCCTAATCTTCAATTGGTCTAAGTTCGTCTTAACAGTCACTTGCAAGGGTCGGTAACTCCCCCCAACATATGTTGGTGAATATTTATCTTCTAAAGACAACTGTCCACCATATATAAGAACAAACAACGCTCCAAGTCCAAATATTGTTGTGCTACTACATATCGCTTATGATAACATACAATTAAACTAACAACCCTAGCTCAAAGAAATGAAACAATCACAACCGATAAGCATTTATCTAAATAAGTTTATATATAATACCTTATTTTAAAAAATAAATTTTAAGTAAAGTTAACTAAATAAATTTAAAATAAATCTCTTTCACAAAAAAGGCTCATTCACCGAATTATTTCTCAAATTCATTAATACTATATGCCTTAGCTATCAGAGTTCACTTCTCTTTCACTAATACCAGTGGCGGAGCCAGAAATTTTATTTAAGTAGAAATTTTATTCTAGGGGGGGGGGGGCTAAATTAAACACTACAGGAAAATCACCCGTTACCGGTAGAATTTTCCCGCAATTTTCAAACGATTAATTTTTCGGTGGTCAATTTTATGGTGGTTTGTTATCTCATCTTAAATGTCAGAATACATTAAGATAGTTCTGTTTGCCGTCTCATTACTGGAGCTAAGAGGAGTTGTAAGATCAAAATTAAGAATGCAAATAACATGGCGAGAGAGGAGCGAAAAGGAAAAGAAAAGCTAGGCTCGAGAATGCGAGTTGCGAGAGATGAGCGAAGGAGAAAACGAAGCAGGCAATTTGGGTCGAGGGAAAACAAGTCATTTGGAAGCAGCATTTGTGCCTGTGATATGATATTGTTGCCAGAGTGAAAATTTTTATAAGAAAATTATTGTGAAAATTAGTAAAAAAACTATTCCAAACAAAGCCTAAAGCATATTCTTGCATGTTAAATTATGGAATTGTTAGGTATTATTATTTATAAAAAAAATGTTAATTTTTTATGTAAATTAATCCTCCACATTTAAATTTGCTTTAAAATGAGCGCAAACCATAAAAAATTCAATTAAAATGTATATTACACATATCTTAAAATAAATACAATACTTTTAATATCAATTTTGACAAAAAAATTTTGATCAATAAATTCGGTAAATATTTTTTTATAAATATATTACATGGAATAAAAATGATGACTAAATAATTATATCTAAATCTATTCCTTCTCTCTCAAAAAAAAAAAAAAAGCTTTAAGCTCTTGTCACATGCAGCAAAAAAAAAAAAAATTTAGGGGGGGCACGTACCCCCCCTTGCCCCCCTCCTTCCGCCCATGACTAAATACCATATGCTAAAAAATATCTCTTTCACAAAAAATATCTTTCACGAGAAATATCAAAATCTTAGCTCAAAGAAATGAAAGAATCATAACATATTTTCAGCTCCTACTTATAGATTACAAATAAGAAATATCACACAATTCCTTTCTTCGTATTTCGCTACACAAAAATCTCATATTTTAACATACACAACTAGGGGTGCAACCGAGTCAAGCCGGCTCGTGAGTCGGCTAGGGCTCGACTCGACAACAGGCTCAACGAGCCGAGCTAAACGAGCTCGCGATCGAGCTCGAACACAGTTTCAAGCTCGAATGCTTAACCAGCACGAGCTCAAACAGGCATCCGACTCGACTCGTCGGCTCGACAAGCAGCTCGACTGGGCGGGATTCATGGGATCGAGCTCGAGACGACGACGGCGGATCAGATCTCGACGGCAGAACTCGCAACAGACGTGACGACGATGGCAAAGCTCGAAACGAACGTGATGATGACGCCGAAGCTCGAAATGGACGCGACGAGATTTAGCTCGGAGCTCACGACGACGAAGCTCTGGACTACATATTGGATGTGACGACGACGACGATGACGACGAAGCTCGGAATGGACGATGACGATGACGAAGCTCGGAGCTCGATTGAGCGCGTGACAACGATGATGGACGACGTCGTCGTTGGACACGACGACGAAGCTCGGAGCTCGATTGAACGCATGAACGACGTGATGACGGACGACATCGTCGTTGGACGCGACCTTGACATAGAACGCGACGACAAACCGCGAGTACGCGATAACGACGGACATCTGCACGGCAGCGAAGGCGAGAACGCGACGAAATTTTGAGCTCGATGAGCCGCTCGACAGTGAAACGAGTCGAGCTCGACTCGAGTTCGAGCTCGGTATCTGAGAGTCGAGCTCGACTCGAACAACCCCTAGCTCGAGCTCGACTCGACTCGACTCGTTTCCACCCCTATACACAACCTTACTCAAAACAACTAAATCATTCCTAAACTTTAAAAAACATCTACACAAATTAAGCATGACACAAAAGGAAAATTATTTCAACACAAAAAAAAACGCAAGAAAACGTACCTAGCACTCGAAGATTGTCATATTTCGCAATGAGCCGAATGCTCTAAGTAGGTTTTCCCAATTAGGGCTGGAAAATTGGGGATTGTCAGGTTGTTAAAATAACAAGGGTAAGTCGCCCGTTTATCTTAAATAGAAAAGTCCCCCAATAAATTGGTGACTTTGGAGAGAAATAATTTTTTAAGGATTAACCTCTTAATTAAATCATAAACAATGTTTAGTTTAAAAAATCCCTTTAAGCGGATCCATTCCGAACCGCAAAAGAAGAAAAATGAATTCTTCTTAAATAAATAAATAGTAACGAACGGTTGTATAATGTACTGTGTTGATCATTTACTGCGGCCGTAAACCTGACTTTCGTGGCTTCCTTTTCCATGGAATCCCCAATGTCCTACTCTTGTCTCCCCAGCTTCTCCCTCTTAACTTTAACCTTCCTCCTCTACTCCGTCTCCTCGCCATTTTTGCTCGCCCGCGTCTTCGCCACCGGCGACTCCTCGTACTTTTCTGGCATCCTCAACCGCGCCAAAGATGAGCTTCCGTGGCTTCTCTCCATCCGCCGCCTCATCCACGAACACCCCGAGCTCCGATTTCAGGAATACAACACCGGCGCCCTAATCCGCTCCCACCTCGAAGCCCTAAGCATCCCATACTCCTTCCCCTTGGCCAGCACTGGAATTGTTGCTCAAGTTGGTTCCGGTGGCGCTCCTATCATCGCCCTTCGTGCCGACATGGATGCTCTGCCTCTTCAGGTTCTCCTTACTCTTATTGTTGGTTGATTTTAAAAAGGGTGAAATATCTGGTGGTGATTGCTGCTTATGGAGATGCAGGAATTAGTGGATTGGGAGCATAGGAGTAAGGTTGATGGGATAATGCACGCTTGCGGGCATGACGTTCATGTTGCGATGCTGCTGGGAGCTGCTAAGTTGCTTAATGAGCGGAAGAGCTATCTGAAGGTAATTTAGTTCATGCACGAAATTTCTATAATTATGAGTATCATTCCAGCGAGCGGCATTCAAACATTGTTTGAACTTTTAAATTCAAAATTCTCATAAAATAAAATTTTTTTCTTTCACGTGTCAGTTATTATGTACTGCAATGATTTGCTTTTTATATATATATTTTTACTTTTTAAAAGGAAGAAATGATGAGCATACCAATTAAGATAAACTCATATATATTAAATACACAAGTTTTAAATTTCAAATAATTAATATTTCAAACTCATATATATTATATTCAGAAGATATGCATGTAATATTAAAATTTCAAGTATTAAATATATAAATAAAATAGTATAAGGTGTTATGTATGTAAATCTCCCTTTTAAATTTAGTATTTTTTGATTGATAGTCAAAACTTATAATTAAAAGATCAAGATGAAACAATAGTTGGAGTGCACTTATCTCGATATAATTGAAGAGCAATACCTCTCAACTCCCCTCCCCCCAGCGAAGAGCAATATCTCTCACGCCCCAAGGTTGATTGACACCCCCCCCCCCCCCCCCCCCCCCCCCCCCCCCCCCCCCCCCCCTAATTAAATTGACCTGATGTGTCAATTTTCATGAACTAGCGTCTCAATATAAGTTAAGAACACGATATACCCATCAAGCACACTCAATACTCATTATAACATGATGACTCAATTAAACTACTCCTTACAATTATTAACCTATATGATGCCTGACATTGCCATCCCCTTCAAAAGTATCCATTCCATCAAGGTTGAAGAACATCATAAAATAGGATAAAGCTATACATGAAATCTATGTAGAATCTTTAAGTCATGACATGCAGGCACAAAGGTTGATTATGTTGCAGGAGCTGGGCGGCCATCGATCCATATATTCATTTGACCATTCAGAAATGAAAATAGGGACAATATTCATTTGTTCGACCATTCTGTTGTGTCCTGCAAGTGCTTTAGTTAGACTTTAGTCGGTTTGGGCTTGATAGGAGTGTCATAAGAAATTTAGGCAATAAAAATGTAGAGGTGCAGCGGGAGAGGAAGCTTTGAGTGTCTATTTAAATCAAAGAATGAGCTTGAGTAGGTGCTTAGATTATTTATTGAACTGATGGTGCAAGAGAGGGTGCATGAAAGTGAGCTGCTCAGTTAGTGCATGCCATTAGTTAAATATTCGAATGCATTGTAGTGTGCCTGCCATTCATTTACTAATGAAAAATTCACAAGCATGAAGCATTAGCCTGAAGTTGGATAATGTGGTGGAGTCATGGATGTACTTTTGTGGCTAAGAAGTGTGTGGAAGTCGAGTTTGGTGCAGATTGTACCTCGAGCATGGTTAGTCTTGGGTTAATTATGTGTTAATATTTGTCAATTCTGTCAACGTGATTTGAGTCCTCATTCGTTTCATTGATTTAAGTGGAAGGAATTCTTGGGCATTCCATCAAAAACCTAGGTTGCATAGTTTAGTTCAGCATGATATTTTGGGTGGATATATATTTTTGGAGTTTTTTTGCAAAGAGGAATCAGCCAGATCAGAAGAGAATGGCTAGATTTGCTAGGTGTGGATGGAAAAAAAATAGAGTTTAGATTTGAATAGGGGGTTGGATGTGATTCTTTAGAAATCTTAACATAATATGTTTTGTTCTTGAGGAAGCAGGGCTATAGGGTTAGAATTTGAGGTGGAAGATTTGATCGACAAATCTAGTGAGAGAATCTGGAACAATGGTTGACAACCAGATTTTGCAGAGATGGAGATGGGGACTCGAAAGATGATGGCTCCCGACGAAAGCATCAATTGTTTTTTGGAGGATAGCCTCGATAAATGATGAAATTAAGCATGCGGATGACTCTAGAAATTTAGGGATTAAGAAGGGGAAGAAAATAATTCACTAAAGAGGGGAGTTTATTTCATATATTGATGCAATAATACCACAAGGGATGTACTTATAAGTTATAACACGACTTTTAAAAACACATTATTTACATGTTAAGCAAGCTTAATATCCACTATAGCATACTGACTCAATTAAACTACTCATTATAATTATTAACTCATATAAGGCCTAACATTACCACCCCCCTTCAAAATTGATTGTTCACTCCATTTTGAAACACATAATAAAATAGGATCAAGCCATATAAAAAACTATTGTAGAAGATGGGCGGCCATCAAACCACATGTCTTTTGACAATCTGCAAGCGACAATGAGGGCGGCAACCATTTGTTCAATCATTCTAATTGCAAGTGCTTTAGAGTGATTGGAGTCAGCTTGGTTTTGCAAGGAGTTTCATAAAAAAATTTAAGCAATAGAAAATGTAGTGGTGGAGTAGGAGAGGTGGATTTGATGTGAGCAGGTGCTTTGATTATGGATTGGATTGTTGGAGCAGGTGGAGTTACATCAATGTGAGGAGCTCAAGGTGGTGTGTGTGCGCGCCAATTTTTAAGGATCATAATGCATCGAAGTGTGCTCGCTATTTGTCTGCAAGCTAAAAATTTATGAGCAATAGCTTGAAGTTGTATAATATGGCGAAGTTGTTGGTGCATTGTGGCGGCTAACAAGTGTGTCGAAGTCGAGTTTTTTCTCATATTGTATCTTGAGCCTAGTTAATATTGGGTTAATAATGTGTAAAACCTTTAGAATCTCAATTTTCTTGTTTTTTTTCAATTCTATCAATGTGATCCAAGACCTCAATTGCAATGTTGATTTCAGTTGTAGATGTTATTTGGCATTTCATCAAACACATGTACTACATAGCTTCATTTAGCATGATATTTGGGTCAGATGTACTTTTTTGGAGTTTCCCTGTAGTGAGAAATCGACCAAATCAGATGAGAATTGCTAGATTTGGTAGGTGTGGATGGAAAGTTGGGAGCTTAAATTTGAATAGTGGGCTGTATGCGCTACAATGGGAATCTTAATGTTTTGTGAATAAAAAGTTGAGAAAGCTAAGCCAGAGGGTTGCATTTGGAGGTGGAAGATCTGTTTGGCAGATTTGGCGATGAGAATCTTGTTTGCTGGTAGATTGTTCAGCCAGATTGGAGATGGAGATGGGCACTCTAATGAAAACGGCTTTCAATAAAAGCATTAAATACTACAAACCCTGAGGATCGCAACCATAAACAATATGACTTCGAGTTCGTCTTCAACTCCAGAAATTTAAGGATTAACAAGAGCTAGAAGAAAATTTAGCAACAAGGAGAGTTAATCTCATTTACTGATGCCTGTATACTCTCACAAGGGAAGTGTTTATAACATAACAAGACTCTTAAGAACACATTATCTACCTATTAAGCATACTTATCATGTTGTGTGTGATTAGGATTGACAATATACAAGATAACCCAAACAAAACTTGAAAGTTCCATATTTTATCTAGCCATTTTAATGGAATATGTGATATTTGGGTCCGCATTTAGGCAACCTGGGAAATTTATTTTGGGTTTGAATTAGCCTAAAACCCATATCTAACTTGGTTGATGAGACATTTCAAGTAAAGTTTAAAATTTTGGCATTATAAGTACCAACACAGTTTCATATTGTTTCATTAAAAAGTTTATGTGCTTGAGTCGAGTTGGGTTGGGTTCGGCCGAACTACCCTATGTGATTGATTGCTACTTGTATTAATAAGTTTTTATTTCAGGTCAACTTGCTCAGCTGCCCCATCTCAACTTGTGTGGGGTTGTTTTTGACATATTTAATGAGCGGTTTCTGTCGATTGGTTCTAATTTGATTAGATAATTTTTGTGTGAAATTTAAATCTCAATTGTTCACATGAATTGACACCCCCTAGATGAGATGATGGTAAGTCAGCCTCACCTCCCGCAGTGGTGTTGAAGAAGTGCTGTGAAAAAAATTCAATGTTAAACGTATCTTTAGCTCCTTTTTCAATGTCTGTTTGTGTTATGCTTCATTTTATTTCCCACATCTTGACCTGATATGCAATGTGCTCCCACTGATTTTCAAATTCTTTAATTAGTTCTGTGACATTAGATTCTCCAATGATAACCAAACTCTCCATAATAAAGCACACGTTTAGGTCTTTCTATTAGTTTAAAAACTTGCAGTAGGCTCTTTTATCATCATGGAGTTAATAAGATATCAGAGGTTGTTAATGGCTTCCTTGAAAACCTGCATTAGGTTCCTGTTCTCACGCTATTGTTCACACCGCATTTATGCCATTTTAGGCCATCCACTACATCTCAAACTTCTTTTAGTTATGATAATGGAGGTGTGGTCTGGTAAATGGGTTTCTTTGTCTTCCCAACCTCAGTAAAGACCAATTTTTTGACATAGATGTTTGAACATGGAATTGACTTCTGAAAGTGAGTTTCAGTTATATTTATATAATTTGTATGAACACTTCTTGGAAACATAATTTTAGTATTTGTACTGATTGCAATAATATTCATTTTTCACCCATAATTCCATTGGTTTTTTATTATCTTACTATTTTTAATGAACAAATAATTTTTTTTGCAAGAAATTTTAAAAATAATTAAACTTTAAAACTAAATTAACTAAATAAAAACAAAAAAAAGCATCAACTTCCATTATGGCAGCTTCTTTGATGATTCAACCAATTTTGTTTTTTATTCTGAACCATTCGCCCAAAGAATAGGCAATTGTTCATTTTTTTTTAATTTTTTTGTTTGGTGATTGAGCTCATTCTTTTATTCGGAACCAGTCGCCCGATGAACGGGCTACTATTCATATTTTTTTAATTTCATTTACATGCAATTGTTTATTAAATTCTATAAGATGGTGGTAAGACTTGCAATGCTTTATGGTGCATAACGTTGGCCATTAAAAGGGAAGCATAATATTAAGTTAAGTGTTGCATAGATGAGGATGCTCAGGTGGATGAGTGGCGTTACTCTTAGAGACAGTATACCAAATGAGCATATAAGTAAAAAAGGCTGGATTAGCTCCAGTGGAAAATAAGATTAGAGAGAGTCGCCTTAGATGATTTGGTCACATAAAACAGTGGCTT